TATATATATATATATATATATATATATATATATATATATGTGCTCATAATTATGAAAGTGGTCTAAGTCAAAATAAAAAAAAAATGAGTTTATCAGTTATTACGCATCACATTATTTTAAACTAAATAAATTCAATTTAATTTTCACAATATTGTCAAAAATGAATCGTTAGATAATGCTTGTTATTTCAATATTATATAGAATTAATATAGTGTTCAAATATAAAACTTTAAATATCTCGAAACAAGAGATACACGACTTAGACCACTTTCATAATTATGGGCACATATATATATATAACAATTTTATATTAATACATTATTATTTTTATAGGTATTAGAAATTTTATATTGTAAGCAATGGACAAGATATGATGGTGTTGGAGCACTTATTATCACACCTACTAGGGAACTTGCCTATCAAATATATGAAACATTACGTAAGGTTGGTCGATATCATGATATATCAGCAGGTCTGATTATCGGTGGAAAAGATTTGAAATTTGAAAAGAAACGTATGGACAAATGTAATATAGTTATATGTACACCGGGTCGTTTACTTCAACACATGGATGAAAATCCTCTCTTTAATTGTGTTAACATGCAGGTATATATTTTACTATGATTTAACAATTTTATTTATTTATATAGATATATGTGAAAGAGTAGATAAAGTTATATTTTTTATTTACAGATATTAGTTCTCGATGAGGCAGATCGTTGTTTAGATATGGGTTTTGAAAAGACTATGAATTCTATCATCGAAAATTTACCACAAGACCGAAAAACGCTTTTATTTTCAGCGACACAGACTAAGTACTTATTGTTCTTTTTCTTTTCTTATTTATTATGTCCATTCTAATCTTTCTTTAATTTTTTTATTAGATCAGTTAAAGATTTAGCTAGGTTGAGTTTAAAAGATCCTATGTACGTATCTGTGCATGAACATGCTAAACATACCACTCCCGAAGGACTTCAACAATCTTATATTGTTTGCAATTTAGAAGATAAAACAGCCATGTTATGGTCTTTTTTAAAGAGTCACTTGAAACAAAAAATAATCGTCTTCTTTTCTAGTTGCAAGCAGGTATTATGAGAACATTATTTACTTATTCTGTTCTGTATTAATTATTTTATTAACTATAATAATTGAAACATTTATGATAAAGGTCAAGTACATATACGAATCATTTTGTCGATTACGACCAGGAATTAGTTTGTTATCTCTGTATGGTACTCTTCATCAACTTCGAAGAATGGAAATTTATGAATCATTTTGTAAAAAGCATCATGCCGTATTATTTGCTACGGATCTTGCTGCACGTGGATTAGGTAAATTATTATTTCAACATTCGTTTCTTTTGTAAATAACAAGAAATTGACTAATACTATTGTAGATTTTCCTGCTGTAAATTGGGTTGTCCAAATGGATTGTCCTGAAGACGTGAATGCATATATTCATCGGGCGGGTAGAACAGCTAGATTTCAAGCAGGTGGAGAATCATTATTAGTTTTGTTACCATCTGAATTGGAAATGGTTGAACGACTTCAGGATCGTAAAATACCAATAAATATGATAAAGTATGATTATGAAAGTAATATAAAGCTTTACGTTATGATAAATATGCATACCGATTACTAATCATTTATATTATGTTTAGAATTAATCCAAATAAATTATATTCACCACATCGCAAACTCGAAGCACTATTAGCCCGAGATGTATATTTAAAAGAAAGCGCAAAAAGAGCTTTCAAAGCATACGTTAGATCAGTTTTCTTAATGAAAGACAAAAAAATATTTAATGTAAAAGCTTTAAATACCGATGAGTATGCCAAATCATTAGGTTTAGCTATACCACCAAGAATCCGATTTTTACAAAAGCCGCAAAAAAATACTTCTAATATACAAAATAAAATAAATAAAGAAAATGAAGAAAATGTAAATTCAAAAATATGTGATAATAATGAAACAAGTATAAATATTAGTTCTAACGAATCTGATAACGAGGAAGAAGACGATATAATGAAACCTATGAACAAATGTGATAATAGTGGTTTTATGAATGGTAAGTATAAATATCAATTTAATGAAAATGTGAATAATTTTATTATAAAATTATTTTTTCCATTTTTGTTATTATATAGATGATAGCGACGATGATTTATTGACCGTAAAGAGGAGAAATATAGACATTGACGATATGTCTGACGTTGTCGAAAATACAGAAGATAAGAATAATAAGAAAAAAGTTATTACGAAAGCTGCAATAGCAAAGAAAATACTTAAGAAGAAAATTATTCCTAATAGTAAAAAAACTTTTGATGACGAGGGAAAGGTAGTATTTCCATCATATTAGCATGATATTACTTGTGAATATACCTATTACAAATTTTTTTCTTTTTTTTTTCTTTTATTCTTTTATTTAATTTCAAAATTTAGGAAGTGATAGATTCAACGAAAAGCAAAGTATCTGAATTAGCTAAGAAGTATGAGAATGAAATAGATTCGGGTATTAACATTGAAGTAGCGAAACAAGTTTTACGCGAAGAAGATCAATTTGATAAACAAAGATTTAGAGATAAAATCAAGGAAAAGCATCGCCAAGAAAGACTTAAATTGAAAGCTCTTAAAAAGGAAAAGAATAAAGATACAAGCGACAACGAGGAATTACAGGAAGAAAATAATGACGAAGCGAGTGAAAGTGAAGTTAGTGAACAGAATCTTTCGTGGTTGCCAGATCCAGATAAAATATATGGAGAACAAAAAGTAGACTCCGATAAAAATTCTCTAGATAATTCAGAAAGTGAAGAAAATAGCATGATTCATGTGTAAGTTAAAAATTAATATTTAATCATAATATATATATATTCTATAAGTACGCAGAATTATATAAATGAAATTTTATATTATTGCAGTCCTTCAAAGAGAAAACTAATAGAACAAAATGGTAAAAGTGTCAAAAAGAAACAAAAATTAACCAATGAAATTGTTAATTCCAACTTAAAAACAGTCGAGGAATTAGCTTTGCAACTTTTACAACGATGAAACTGAGTTACAATTTTTATATGTATTTATGATATAAAAAATTGTAAAGAAATCGTCTTATACAAAATATTTTTTTAATTCTTTTGTCTTATTCTTATAGTTTATATAGAATGTAAGTACAGGATTATAGAAATTACACGCTGCACAGTTATATGTATGTATTATGTATTATTATTAATGAAGCATTAATATTAATACTTCATTAATCACTTACATGTTTCATTGACTTAATAAGATTATTTACAAAATATATTTTACATTACTTCAATCGTAGATTAAAACCAGAATACTTAATGGCACGTTTTATTATCTAAAAGACAATAATGAAATATATGAATCATTCATAATATTAATTTCATTTAACATTGTGCAAATGAAATTACCCCTACTTAGTACTTAGAGTAATTTCTTTCCATCTTACTAACAAGCAGATATTACGGTTGTGCCCGAATGGATTTTAACGAGCTTTGGTATATTAGTAGTATATACCTTTAAGGTGTTCTCGTGGTAAAGTATTTTCATCAAATGCCCAGCCAATTTTAAGTAAAAAGCTTTTAAAGTTTTACTTTTTCTTATATTCGTCTTGTATTCTTTTAAATCTAAATATTTAGTAAGTAGTAGCGTTATTGTTTTTTGCTTTTTGTAAGACTTATGGATAGAAAAACTTCTAAAATATAAAACTTCTCTCAGAAAAAATCGAACACTATTCACCTGCAAGAGAAACGAGAACGCTTCTACTTACGCTAGCGCGTCAATTAATAAATACTTAGATTTAAAAAAATATAACGCGGATATAAGAAAAAACAAAAATTAAAATGCTTTTTTCTCAAAATTGGCTGGCCAATGGATAAAAATATTTAACTACGATAATACCTTAAAGGTATACTGATATACCAAAGCTCGTTAAAATCCGTTCAGACACAACCGTAATGTCTCCTCGTAAGATTTATATAAAATAATATAGCAACATGTCAGAATTAAAAATGTATCTTTATAATTTATAAGATTATCGTTTGTTATTTTATTTTATACAAAGAATCTACAAGTAATACGCCACGTAATATTCATTTACTGCTAAATGTACTTATTCTGATGCTATTTTAATATGTTTTAATATAGCATCAACAACTTCCCTACTTGTAGCTTGACCGCCAAGATCACGCGTATGTATTCCCTGATTGATAGTTTTATTTATTGCACTTTGAATCAAGGTAGCATGATTTTTGTGCCCCAAATGACGCAACATATCGACTGCTGCATTTAACATAGCAATGGGATTAGCAATATTTTTTCCAGCAATACTTGTGCCGGTATTACGAGTACCTGGTTCAAAAATTGTATAATGGTCACCATAATTTTTACCAGCTAATAATCCTGCTCCACCTAACAGACCACAAACTACATTGGAAACAATAGCTCCATATAAATTTGTAGTAAGTACAACATCAAACTGATGCGGGTTAGAAACCAATTGCATACAAGTGTTATCGATGATCATGTCATTATGAGCAATATCTGGATAATCTTTAGCAACGTCTCGTGATATTTCTAAAAATAATCCATCTGAAAGCTTCATTATATTAGCTTTATGAACTGTAGTAACCTTCTTTCTTCCATTTCGCTTAGCATATTCAAACGCATAACGTGCTACTCGTTCCGAATTAGACCTAGTTATAACTTTCATGCTTTCAACAACTCCACTTACGCTTTCATGCTCTAACATAGCGTATTCTCCTTCTGTATTTTGTCTAACGATAACGATATCAATGTTTTTCTGGCGAGAGTTAACACCCTTATAAGAAACACAATGTAAAACATTCACATAAAGATCTAATTCGTTACGTAGGGCAACATTACGAGAAAGTACTCCAGCTTCTGTACTACGTGTTTCTATATTCCCTTTCAATGCTACTCCATTTCTACGAATTGACGTGATTGCATAATCTAAATCATCGTTATTATCGGCATTGGGATCAATATCTATATCTTCAAAGTCTACGGGTACACCCGCATACCGAAAAACCTAAAATATAATTGATTTAACTAAAACAGATGAACAGAACTATGCACATAACAAAAATAAGTTTCACCCAAATAACTCTTCAATTTATTTTCATTATTATTCTTAATAGCTTAACTTATAACTACCTGAATTAATTTCTAACATACCTCTTTAACGTATCCCATTAACTCAGGTCCAATACCAGCTCCAGGTAAGACCGTTACTGTATGTCGTCCACCATAATGAGCCTTTGGTATTGGCATGGTTTTTTTTATTGTAGGCGTTTTATGTTGAATTTCAAATGCTGATTGAGAGGCACAACGGTGTATCTGATGTATCACTGTTTTTGAATGCAAATATCTAAGAACTGAACGAGCAGCCATTTCGAATTATTTTACCTATTTTAGATAATAAAAAGAAATTTTATTCAAATTTTTATATCCTCTAATATATTTAAAAATAATTTTAATTTATTAGATCTATTACTCAATACCTACTGTATTTTGCAATTCTATTTTCAAAGTGCTTCTAAGGTCCTTTAGATATAGAAACAAGAGCTGTTTGCAAGTGTGCAGATTTACGTTAGGTCTGTTTTGGATTTATAATAGAAATTCTAGTGATATGATTGGTCAGAAAACAAATTTTAAGAAAATATTAATTAGAAGCTGGATTTAAAGTCTTTATAAAACAACTTTGAAATTAAATAAAAATATAAAAATTTTGTAATATTACTTGATATCGCAACTATAATTAAATGTCAATATCTGGACAATGTTTTCTATAGTACTTTAAATTGTAACCCTCATCGTTTTTTTAAATAATCATTCTCAATTAATTCCTTATAATATTATTCATTTAATTGTCACTATATAAAATTTAATGCAATTATAGATTTTTATCAATAAGTATGATATATTAACTGTTAATTCTTACATATATATATATATATATCGCGAGTGAGTTATTAGCCAATCAAATTGCATTCGTCGTGACACTTTAATTTACGCGCCAATAACCCATCGTAATAGTGCTATGAAGGACGGTTGTACAATAATCTATTGTTCCATCATGGTTCCGAACCGATAGAAAAACAGATATGTTCGAATAATAGAATTTTTTGACAATACAATAATACTTAAATAGTTCTATTAATTAATAAAAAACTAAATACTTTCGGATTTAAAGTATCGGAAACGGAACGTTTTATCATCATTTTAAAAACAAAGTTATTGAGCGCGCACAGTATACAGAAAAAAAAATTTATTTTCTTTCTTTATTTAATATATTTCAATTTCATATATTCAGCATTCAAATTATTGTATGCTAATATTAGTTTGTTAATATCAACAATATGTATACTATACTTTTCGTTTTATATTTATCGATTTGTTACTTGGTACTCGACATTTAGAAAATTTTATACGAATTCAAATTTGGCGGCATATTAAAAACGCTTATCACTTGACTGCAGTTGTGTGCCACAAGACTTAAATAAGTCGATCAACTATAAAATTATGTTAGTTTATGGATTGCTTAATTAACAAGATACGTTAAGATGGTATCAAGCTGTGTATAATAATTATATAGAAAAGCTAAAATCAAAGAAATTCTTGTAAAAGTATATTTGAAGAGAAAAAATATCATTAATAAAAAAAAGATAAAAGAAGAAGATAAAATTAATGACCTGAGTGACAACATTTATAGACTAACAAAATTATTCAAAAAACATTAAAAATACGAGGCAAGGTTGATATATGCTTGTATAAAGTGATACGAGTGTAAGAGAGTATTGGTAAAAAGAACTGTAGCGGTGAAAGGGGTAGAAGAAGAGAAGTAGGGGAAGGGAAAAAGAGAAGGAAGAAGAAGAATAAGGAAAAGTGTAGGAGAAAGAAGAGTAGAAGGAGTAGGAGAAGGAGGTGGTGGTGAAAGAGGAGAAGGAAAAGAAGGAGGAGCTTATCTACAGTGCAGATCGTGAGGGCGCGGGGCCGCGACCCTGAGCCCGATACGCGTAATATTATCCTGGGCAGAAAGAGAGCCGAACCGGTAGTAGAATAGTGTAGTTGTGGTAAATGCAACCGAATGCTTTGGAATACTTATCTAAGAAAGTTTTATTCGTATGGAATAGAAGTGAGGTACCAGGATAGTTTCATATCTCGAGATAGATATCATTAGAGTGTATTAAAGGTCAAGAGTTCATGATCGGTTAAACAGAAAAGAAATGATGATCTGGGTCTTGCGAAAAGTTTGATGACAAACTTTGTTTCTTCGTTTATTCTTTTCTAGAAGAATATTTTTCTCAATCCCTCTACACAAAGATCTCAAGTAAATTTAAATTATTTTTATGTTTGAAAAGAAATATTTTATTTAGTAAGGTGTGCCGAAAGTTAGAGAGAGAAAGAAAGAAAGAAAGAAAGAAAGAAAGAAAGAAAGAAAGAAAGAAAGAAAGAAAGAAAGAAAGAAAGAAAGAAAGAAAGAAAGAAAGTGGTTAGCAAATAGTATAAGTGTATGCGGCCGTGCGACAAGTGATAGTTTTTTTTCCTCCTCTTCCTCCTCCTCTTCCCTTCCCTCCCTTCTTACCCCTTCATATCAAACCATACATAACTGATTACATCTTAGAATTATCTCTCTGTTAAGCCAGTCTTTTTTCTACTTTGTTAAAAGTGTTTGCTCGTGTGCGTAATCGTTTATCAAATTCAAAAATGCCGCTGTTCGGTAAGAAAGATTCTAATAAGAAAATGAAGAAGGATAGCAAAGACGATAAATCACCATCCGTCGAAGACAAATATATTTTAAAGGAATTACTTGGAACGTGAGTTTTAATTACCATATTGTTTTTGTATGTCATGTACACATACATATATATATATATATATGTATATATACACACATATATATACTTAACATACGTAATGATACGTAATCTTCTTCTTAACTCTTATGTAGACATTGTTTGTTGAAAGTATCTCTACCACATGGACATGTGTTTCTGTTTATTTATCTCTTTTTATCGGTTTAAACTGTGATTCCACTTGTTTTTTATTGATAACATGTAGAAATCGCTTGATAGTATATAACATTTCATATTCTGTACTAAATTCATCAATTGGAAATTTATTTACATTATACTTGATACTATTTTGTGTTATTGAAAAATTTTATTTTATTTTATTTTATTTTTAATGTTTTACATTTTAATTTATATATTTATTTTTATAACAGGTTTTCTACACAACACACACACACACACACATGTTTGAAAATGTTGCAAGAAATTTCTATAAATAATTTGTTTTCTTTAATGAAAGTTATATATGAATTACAAAAATAAATTACAGAAAGTATCATTTTGCTATAATTTTTCTTATCAGGTTGAATTCTTTGAAATTTATTTATATATATGGACCGTTTATTTAGAAAGTGGTTTAAGTCCACTTTTTTTTGTTTCGAAAAAATTAAAGATTAACATATCAATGATTACTCAATTTCTTTTACCGATCAATTTTAAATTGTACAAAACATGGGCACTTTTTAAGAAATTAAATATTAACTAGTTATCCATAAAAAGTTCACATTAAATGAAGCATAAATTACGTGATATCTCATTTTTTTAGAATGTATATTTTTATATGTAATTGTATATATATATACAAGGTGTTTTGTAACTATTAATACAAGACAGCAGAGGATGATTTTATGTGAAAAACTAAGTCAAAAATATAGAATACAATTTATTTTTATAAGACTTTGTTTTTGAGAAAAATAAATTTGAAAATTTTTGGAGTACTGACAAATCATTTGACTCAATTTACAATCCTAGAAACTAAAAGCCTTGTTCAATAAGGATAAAAGTAGAACTGATACAAGAAATTTCATCATACTGATAATGTTTGTAAACATATTTGAAAATATAAAAATGTTCTTCGAAATATCCAAAAGTAAGATAATAAAATCCGTCTAACTGAAAATGAATCAAGTATACATGTACTTCTCAAATTTTTAAACTTACTTTTCATCCCTACCCTAAACCGTATACTAAAATTTTTGACAGGTAATAATATTAATATATACACATCGTGAGCTTTTTTCTTATACAGGGGTGCATTTTCTGAAGTAAGGTCAGCAGAAAGTAAAGAAAAACCAGGACAAATGTTTGCAGTGAAAATAATAGATAAGAAGGCATTGAAGGGAAAAGAAGATTCTTTAGAAAATGAAATCAAAGTATTGAGAAGGTAAGATAATTATTTCTATTTAGTAAATATCGATAAAAATTATGTGATGTGTTGAGTTTTCAAACGCTGACAGGTGGTTGATTGATAATTTATTAGCTTTCTAATCGCTCGGTTCAACGTTAGTACTTTTTTGCATGTAGTTTATAATAATATAATATATATGCTTTTTATATAGATTATTAATTTTCCTGCCTGCATACCATTACCTTTTTCTTTCCTTTTTTTCTTGTACATTATATTACATCTGGGTTTTTAGTAATAATCGACACACATTCATATATATATATATATTATATATTATTTTGTAGTTAATAATATTATATTTTTATCATAGCTTTATGTAAATATTGTTATATTTGACAAACTTATTTGTAAAAGAAGAAAAAAAGAAGAAAAAGTGACTAATATTCATCTATGTTCTGGCATAATTACATAGTGACATTTTGATGAACTTTAATAATTATCAAAGATTTTTTCTCTCTTTTGTTTATGTATATATATATATATAATATAAATATATAAAATATATATTTATATAAAACATATATATATATAAAATACGTGACATTTTATTAAATGTAATACAAAATAACCCAAAATAATTAAATGAACAGTTTTTAATATTGAAGTAAAAGTATTATGTCATAGCATACTTATTTAAAAGATAGATAAAATATAGAAGATATAACTTCAATATCACATAGAAATTAAAATAAATAGTATCAAAGTAAAGAATATATATTTGAAAGCTCCATATACCCTAGTAGCACAAAATTTTAAAAAATATTGAATACATGTGTATTTAATATTAAAAAGAGATTTAATGTCTTTTTAATATTAAATACATATGTATTCAATATTTTGTGCTACTAGGGTACACTGACGTAGTGCATAAAAATAATAAACAAATTTATATAAATGTTTGTCCTATTTGATCTTGATTTTGAGTTATAATTATTTTTAATCTTATATCAATTATTTATCAGTCGTAATAGAAATTGTTTCAAGTAATTATTTTCGATTGAAATATAAGCATCTTAAATATCTACTTACAAATTTCCTAGTTCATTGGAAAGAGTTTAGAAATTACTTGAATTTATTGGCAACCTTCTTCATTATGTTGCCAAAGTCTATCAGCAGAATATAGAATGAATTAATAGCTTCGTTTGACTCTGAATTATTAGAACAAAATAGTTTGGATTTGGAAACAAGGTTAAACGGAACAAATAATAATGCAAATCTTACTATTTTTATATACCAAATCTATCGATGTAAATTTATGTTTATTTGTATATTATAGTACATTTTCTAGAAAATGCAAATAACTAATTGCTATCTAACATTTTTAAGCACTGTATATTTTTATGATAATACAGAGTAGTTTATAGTATTATATTAATTTAATTTTTTATTAAAAGTAGAGTAAAAACAAATCTAAAATTAGAAAAAATAATTGCATATAGATTATATTAGATTCTATAATAACATTTATTTCAATTGATATAACCATTAGTTTATTTTTAATTAGAATAAATAGTTCAAAAAATAGTTGAAATAATTTAAATTACATGAACTACTCTGAATAGATCCAAGTTGGTATCTTGTATGTCATCACATTATATGCTGGATCATTTAAGAATTTCTTTTCTACTAAATAATTTATGTCATACGTATATAATTAAAAATTAATTTTCATGCAAAAATTATTCGCACCAAATATATTTTTTTATTAAAAGTTAATCGTAAATTTTTTAATTCTTTTATATAATTCATTTGATTATATTATATTATCACATGAATTCTTCTTGGATTAATAGGATTTATTTCTCTATTTCTCTCTCTCTCTCTCTCTCTCTCTCTCTCTCCTTCTCTCTTTCTCTTTCTCTCTTTCTCTCTCTCTCTTTCTTTCTCTCTCTCTTTCTCTCTCTCTTTTCTCTCTCTCTCTCTCTCTCTCTCTTTCTCTCTCTCTCCCTCCCTCCCTCTCACTCTTTCTTTCTCTCTCTCTGCACAAAGTATAAACTCAAGAAAAATCTGGAAAAAAGAAAGTTTGAGCAAGCTATAAGTTAATTTAAACATAAATCATGTAATTTTGTGTGGTATTGTTATAATTCGTAGGTTCAGTGAAAGAGTGACACCACAGAGTGGTGATGGACTCCTCAAGTCGGATAGTAGTGGCGAAACAGGATGGTAAGTGTGGGCCCTCTATTTGGGCACCAACTACCTATGTGGCTCAATTCCTGTATCATTCAACAATATCATACATTACTATAATTCAATTTACATCTTGCTCACATAAATTTGTATATATATTGATAAAAAAAAAAAGAAGCAAAAAATGCCTGAGCACAATTTTCTCACTCGATGTATTGCGCATTTCAAACAAGTAGAAGAAAGTAATCGAATCCTCAATTGTATACAATTATAACTATATGATTGTAAAGCATTTCATTGATCAGTCATAGGCCTATTACATAAAAACCTATATTTTAATTTTTCTAATTCTATTTTAATCGCAAAAAAGTATACGTCTATTTTATAAATTTGAAACTTATTTTCGGAAAATTTGTGTTCAGATAAAAAGAAAAAAAGTTATTTATGCCTATACCTCATCATTGACATTATAATCATTATAATCAAATTTTATGTTTTATATCTCATTTATTTCTTCACATATATATATACTACATATTATTAAGATATAATATTAATGTTGTACATATAGTATTATTAGTAAAAAGTAAGTATATGTAGATTTAAACGAATTATATTTGAAATATAATTTATCATTATATATATTAATAATTGTTGTTAATGTCGTTTGTGCTTTTTCCTTTTTATATGCTATAATTGTTTGCTGTATTTTGTGGCCTTTATTTATTTTCTAGTATCCTGTACATACATATATATTATATATAAACAAGGTTTTTTTGCTTTGCTAACAAGTAGTATTATGTTAAACTGCTCATATTAAATTTTGAGAGAGTAGTTGAGAGTCTATTGCTTTAATACAGCATGTTATGTGATGAACAATATTTATACCTATTTTATTAAAAATGCAATAATTATAGTCAAGTATTAATATATCTTTAGTTCAATAATAAATTGTTAAAGAATTGAAATTTTCTAATAAATTTATTTTATTAAAATAAAAATTGTGTTATGAAGATGATTAAAATGTATAGTATTCTTGAAAAAATCTTATAATCATTCTAAAAATATTTATATAATAAAAAAAAGATAGAAACTATATTTAAACAGAATATTTAAAATGTATAAGAGAAACATTTTCTAATAAGAGATTAAATGAAATTAAAATATGATTGTTACAGGCTAACACATCCTAATATTGTACAACTATTGGAAACTTACGAAGACAAGCTTAAAGTGTACTTAGTTATGGAGTTGTAAGTTTTGAACATTGCAATAACAATTACGTTTAATATCGATAATATATATGTATATAAATTATATTAATTTTTTATTACAGGGTTACCGGTGGCGAACTTTTCGATAGAATAGTTCAAAAAGGTTCCTATACAGAGAAAGATGCCTCAGATTTAATAAGACAAGTTTTAGAAGCGGTTGATTATATGCATGAACAAGGTGTCGTTCACAGAGATCTTAAACCAGAGAATCTCTTATATTATAGTCCAGACCCAGATAGCAAGATTATGATTAGTGATTTTGGTTTATCTAAGATGGAAGATTCAGGAATAATGGCCACTGCCTGTGGTACACCAGGATATGTTGGTGTGTAAATGAAACCATTTTATTTATATTTTTTCTTTTTTAATTTTTACAAGAATTTATTATTAAAATTATTATTTCTAGCTCCCGAAGTACTCGCTCAGAAGCCATATGGCAAAGCAGTTGATGTTTGGAGTATAGGTGTCATCTCTTATATTCTCTTATGTGGATACCCTCCATTTTATGATGAAAACGATGCCAATCTCTTTGCACAGATTCTGAAAGGTAATAAAAAGTTGATGTATACATATATTTATTGTTTTTAGACAACGGAGAAGAGACAATATCATCAGATATTCGGATTAATTGTAACATTTAGGATTGACAAGCACATGAAGTAATACATTAATTTGAAATTTTCATTTTTAAGGTACTATTTTAGTTTTCGTATGCAGCATTAGTACATACATAGCGTAGTAAGTAATGAAATTTCTGTGTGCGTCTGAGTCCTTGTATTTGATCGTTAATTATTATCCCTTTGATGAACGAGTGCTAATTATCTACTTACGAATGTTTTCATAATAAACAAACATTATATCGTTCAATTCTTTTAGAATCAACAGCTTTAAATCACATATAGTAAATACCATAATACACAAGTATATGATAATACAGAATGATACACATGTGGATCTATAGTACTGTGCTTGTTTATATTAGAAATATTTCATGTTAGAATGATATATCTCCAAGGGCTAATTTGTCGCATAATAGTTTTTTTTGATTAAACGAAATAAATAAAACATTAAATTATAAATGACCAGGAATTGTATCGACACTAATTATGAGGAACTCAAGACAAATAGTATCTTTTATTTTTGTTTCTTGGCTTTCTTTTTGTTTTTTCAAATTTATCTTTTTTTTCCCTTACAAATTATACATTTGCTCTATTTATACTGTCACAAAATCGTCTACTCTATAGCAAGGAGCTAATCAGACTGTTATAGGTGAATTTGAATTTGATTCACCATACTGGGACGATATCAGTGATTCAGCTAAGGATTTCATACACAATTTGATGTGCGTCAATGTTGAGAAACGCTTTACGTGCAAACAGGCCCTAGCACACCCTTGGTAAGAATATTTATTAATCATTTTCTCTTTAAAATAAAACTTATAAAATAAAGAACATTTTTAAGCTATTTAAAAAAAAATGAAATATTTATTAAACTTTTAAAATAATTTTATATTTTCAAATTATAATGTAACTGCAGAAATTAATTAAGAATATGTTAAACATATATCAACTTCATAAAGGAGAGTATTGCAGAAATACAATTGATATTAAATAATATATAATTAATATCAATTAAGTAAGTAAAGAAATTCTATTCCCTGTGATGACTTGCAATTAATAATAATTTAATAATAATATCCTCTATAGCTTTTAGTTTTGATATGCAAATGAAAAATAAAAAAAGGAACAAATTAGAAAAATGATAATTATCAAGAAATATCATAAAATTAATAATTTAGATCTAACTATCCTATTAAATAAGATTCTGTCATTATAAAATTTTTTCTAATCATATAACATAAAACATTTTAATATTAGTTTAAAATACATTTAAATATATTTTATCTAATTTAACACATGTATAATTAATTCTTTTCTAGGATTTCTGGAAACGCAGCTAGCAATAAAAATATCCATGGTACTGTATCTGAACAACTTAAAAAGAATTTTGCCAAATCGAAGTGGAAGGTTAGTATGGGTATACAATTAGCAAATTCCTGATTGCGCATATATTTGCTCACCAGGCTCCGTAGGAAAGTCTCCCACTTCTCTCATGGTTCCAGCAAGCGTATCATGCTACCACGGTCATACGTCAGATGCAGAGATTGGCACTCAACAGCGGTCAGCAACAACAGGGCCCAGGATCAGGCCCCTGCACCGGCAACCTCACGCCGTGTCCCGATCAATCGCAAACCAATCCCAACAACCATCAGCACAGACCACTGGGACCTCAAAACAACTTCAATTGAAAGAAACGTTTGAGCCATCATTGTCCACACCAAACTTGGTGGATTTACCGACCTCTTCTCCCATTCCACTTACTCCTAGCTCTCCATTCTACTTACGCAGCAAACGCTTTAAATTATGGGGCAGTACACGCATTGCCCTCTCTACTCTTTTTCGAGTTAATGTCTCGTATCTTAGGAAGCAAAGAAAATATAAAAAATGTTGAATCTCACTGCTAAACATTCTCTAGAAGTTAATGTCAATGAAATCTAATGCTTTGTACATTATTTACAAAGTGTTGAAAAAGCTACATTACCTCAAGCTAAAAATGCTTTATTACAATTTCCTATGACATAGTTTAATGCTGATTATGTATAGTACGCAAATTTTAATCGATTACACGGTGAATCACACGTTTTCTGATAATACTTCTTGCCTTTTTCCTCTTATTTTTTTTAAATATAATAAACTAGTAGATGTATGAAATTTATTTTGATTAAAAATAATATAATAAAATTATTAAAAAAAAAAAAAATAAATGTTTAAGAGCATATAATAATTTTTTAATACAAACAAGATAAATAAATGATTTTCCACTATTTTGTTTAATTACTCAAGAAAATGAAAACTTCATAAACAACTTAATTCGTCTTCGATGGTTACAAATTAGAAAGAAAACATGTATTTATGTGCTTGTTTTGTTCTCTTTAACGTAAGACAATTTAATTAACTCTTATAATTAGGCTTTTTGATCTAAAGTTTAAGGATAAATAAATATCTTGGAACAAATAAATTTTAAAATATTCTATAAAATAAAATAAAATATAATATTTCATTGATTTTACATTGTTGATTAAGGAAATTATTGAAAATGTTTATTTGTATTCAAAATATCTTAATAATATTAATGCTAAATAAAAATTAATGAAATATATTATAAGATTAAGTAAAGTTAAATAACTGTAAATTATAAATTAAAACTTGAAGCTAATTATTATTATTATTGTTGTTGTTATTATTATTATTATTATAACATTACTAGAAGGAAAATACTATCGAATATTAGAAATTAATACGGGAAAGAACAATAATACCTTTCGAACAAATAATCTTCTTAATACATTTTTCTCTGCTTATTACTGCATAAGACGTAAAATCTTCATATGCAAGTTTTCCTCGGCATATGCGTATAATATTTTATTGTGTGCTAATATTTCTTAATAATACCTTAAAACACAAAATTAATTATTTTTTTCATTCCTTCTACACGTTTGGTTTTATTCTATAATTCTATAAGAATACTACTTACTAAAAACGATTGATATTAATAAAGATTAAAAAAGAAAACTATGATTGTGTGATTTGTGGTATATTAAATTTGTGTATAAAATTATATTGTACTCTTTATATTAATTTACATTGTTGTTATTTTTAAAAGAAGAATTACGTTTGTAAATAGGTTCAACAAATAATATTTAATAATAGTAAATAGACGAGTAGAGACTCGTCAATAAGATATTTTCATTTCTTAACTAATATATATATGCATAAAATTAATATTAATATTCATGAATGTTTATCAAGTTATACTAATATTTTGATGAAAATGCATTATAATATGTTATGTTAATATAGCATATATTTTTTTTTACATTCTTTATACTTACAAGAATGAAAATATTTTCATTGACATTGATAAGTAAAGATTATAATTACATATATTTGTGCTTAAAATTAAAACTATTTTGTACAATTAATAGAAAATCTGTGTTAATAACTCTTCTTTGATTAGAGATAAGTTTTCTTTTAACTGCTATGTTTATTTATACACATTATTTGTTGTTATTGTTATGATTATTATTACTATGATTAATTATATAACATTATACAATATTACATAAATTTCAAAAACAATTTTGTTTTAAATTATTATTTGCTTTTTATAAAAGATGCATGTTATAAGACGAATTTCATTTTAAAATTTCTTCTTTGATCTTAAGGTGATGACGATGATGTATAAAAAAAAGAATTGTATTCTGTAAAAAAAATCAATATTCTAATGTTATAAATTTTTAAGAAAATTTTAGTTAAAAAGGTACTGAATGTAATTCTACTATTCAATAGTAGATATATACTAATAGCTTTTTTTAAGATTTGAAATATAAATATTTTTATCTAAATGAATAATTGTATGAAATCAAAATAAAGCTACTTAAATGTTAATTAAGTACATTTGTTCCGATAGTTATTGCTAACAATATATAGATTGAATTGTGTGTCATTATTGAATTTTTCAATTTATATTTATTTTAATAATACACGCACACACACAAACATAAATTATTTGTTGTAAAAAACATAATATTTCTTATATATTCACATATATATGTATCAAATTGTACAAAGTATATATTTTAGTAATGTTTTATGTATATATATATATACATAAGTATATATATGTATATATATACTTTAACAGTAGCATTTTTTTCAAATTTATGAATTTTAAGTATAATATAGCTTCCATATTTTCCTTGCTGTGAGGTATAAATATAAAGGTAGAAGAGAAAAGATTTATAAGTGTTATGTATTTATATATATATATATATATATATATATATTTAATCACATTTTCAAATACTTAGACATAATTATTATTGTTGTTAGTTTTTAATATTAAAAATTAAATCATTAATTATAAAATTGAAACTTTATGTGAATTTTAATTCAACTAAATGCGTAGTATATTATAGAATGATATATATAGAAAAATAGAGTAATATTTGATTGAAACCAAATCAAATATTATTGGAAAAGTAGTATTATTAAATTAATTGTATTTAAAAAATATAAACACACATATTGCTTGTGCTATATATAATTTTATAGCACATGCAATATTAATACTTGGCCCCTCCATAATTCTTATAACAAAATCTCTGATTAGATAGAGAAAATGTGATTAAATTTCTTATTACCGTAAATGTATAAATAATAGAATACAATAAATTTACAAACAAGCGTCGTGGTGATCATCACCCATCAAAATTATTAAATTGTGCATGGAAAAGGTACATAATATTAGTATAATCATATTTTCAGTACCTGCGTTCAGTCTACATATGCATTCAACGCCTCCTCTAATTTATTTACAATTTTTTTATAAAACGATATTTGTTCTTGCAAATGCGTTTTCATAGCTTGATTAATATGTATATCACGTTCTGATTGAAAATGTGTTTCTTCTGCCATTAATGTGCGTGCTATTATATCCGTTCGATGAGACATTTCGCGCAATTGCTGTGTTTCCATTTTATGTTCTGCAACTAATCTCTCACAATCCTTTCTTTTTTGTATTGCGCTCTAGTAAAATGTCAAGGAAAATAGTTTATAATGAATAATTGATCTAAAAATATTAGAGATGTAAATTATATTAAAGAGAAATCATACCTTATGTATACTAATAACATCAGGAAAATTACTGATAATTCCTCTATAAATATGAAATTTATCAGCAAGCGGTTCCCAATCAAACTTTGGCTGTTCTTTGTAAAGATGGCCAATATCATTGTACGCTTCGCCTGTTACCTTTAACGCATGAGTCAATCTCCTATGATCGCTGTCGTCTCCTTCCAAAGCGTGTCCTAATGAACAGAAGGATTGACCAATTTTCTGAAACTCTCTTTTATAAAGTTGTTGATGTTTTTTAGCTTGATCTACGGCCATGGCCATGAAATTTTTCACGACAGGATCTAAACCATTTATATATCTACTAAATGCATCTATTTGAATTTCCACTTTAATTGCATCTAAAGGTGTATCAATGCATTGAATGGCATTAAAATAATTCTCTCCTAATAATTCATCTTTTTCAGCTTGCCGTTTTCCTGCCTTCCACCTTTTCTCATCCGTACAAATCATAAAGTGATCCCATACTCGACTACGTGACAATACAGGATGACGACAAACATAATCAACAAATTCTTGTAATTGTGTGCGACGATGTTCTATAAACTGTTCTTCGTAACGTCCTGCTATTTGTTTATCAGGTAATGGTGGAATTGGTATGAAACAATATTTTTGTTCTAAACGTTCATGCAACCAATCGAAATGCTTATATCTTCTTGAAACTTGAATATTATTAAACTGTAATAAAAAGATTTACGTTACATCTAAACATAAAATTGAATGAATTTAAATAAGATTAGTTAAAATAATATGTAAAATAAGTTAATGTTATTTGAACATACCGTAGGTGTTAATTGATATACGATAAAGCTTTTAAGACCTTTTAATTTAGATTCTTTCTTAGGAGATGTAATAACACAATTATACGATTCCCCACTTGGTACCCATACACAACGTCCATCTTCATTTTCTTTGATAAATAGCTTTTCGCTTTCTGGTACATTAATTACCTTTGTTCCTAATAAAAAACTGTCTTCTCCAGATTTAATAATAGTAGAAAACTTATTATTCTTCTTTGGTACATTAGATATAGGTCTTTCAGGTATCACAGAATGTATAGTATGAATTGGAATAGAATTTCCGCTATCAGTGCTATTGGATTGTAATGCTATATGCATAGCTTGCTGTTGTTGATTTGTAACAGGAACATATGCTTGTGTTTGACCAATTTCTGAATCATCGTCCCAATCATCATCCCAAAAATCTCCAGAACTTTGTTGCGATACTGTCATGCTACCTAGTAAATAATAATATTAAATACTACAAATAAAATCATGACAAATCTAAGAGCTATTGTTTCACAATAGTTAAGTATAAATTACGTCTCTATTTAATCATACTCGAGACTGGAGCAGATGATTCTATAACTTGCACATATGCTGCTGGAAAAAGACCAGATTTTCCACTTTGATTGAATCCTTCGCACCATCCGTCACCGACATTATCTCTCATGACAGTCAAAGTCTCTCCTGCTATAATAGATAATTCAGCTGTTCCTGGCTGACCAGTAAAGTCGTATAAAGCTCTTACCTAAAAATAAAAATAAATATATAAATTAAATAAAATTGATTATACATTGTAAAAAAAGAAAACTAAATGTATAATTATCATGAATAAATATGAGTCATAAAAGAAAAGACAAGTTGATTGAACTTTTGACAATGACTTAATTAACTTGGTAATACTGATTTATTAACATACCTGGTGACCTTCCATTATAAATCTACCTTGAAATTTGGATAATGTCGATATACAATATGAAATATTATTTTTTTCAATTTGTTTGATAACGCCTGGTCACATACCTACAATACTTTGATTCTGAGTCGTGCAAGTGACATTTGCGCGTTTCTCGTAACTTATATATTATACCTTTAACGACATAAATGTATGCACATTGAAAATGACTGTACCAGTTCTAAACTATAAATCGTTGTCAATGAATGAATCGAGAGATTAATTTACTTGTTCAAAATAATCACTCTTACGTGATACTATAAATGAACAAATTGTGTTCTTTATTTAACGATATTAATAGCAAAGAGTAGGTAAAAAATATAACTTTAAGATATAAACGTTCAAAATCGCATACTGTCACATATCAATTAGAGGTTAGGCGTTAATACTCGGGTTCTAAAAATTCTTACGTCTGCACTGAAAACACATTGATATATGGAATCGCCTTTTTTATTACGATTTTATTACTTTTATTAAAGACTGTACGCTGGTAAAATTATTACTAGATTTAAGTGTGTTCTAGAATGGTTCGAATTCATGGAAATAAAAATACAAAATGTTTTCTTTAATATTAAATGATTGTTTAGCTTATTACAATTAAATACAAACAAATAATGAATAATAAATAAAATTACTTGTCAATTGAATTTATTTTCATATAGTAATAGAAATATTTTAATTTTACATGAAAACGAACGAAACTTTGTTTGTCGTATTAAAGTAATAAAAAAGAATAATATGTATGCATAGGAAGAGTCATTACCTCAGGAAAATGTCTCTTTGATTTGATCGGAATCGATTTTTTTTAAATACAATAAAAAAAAAGCCGTTATCTAGGATTTTTTGTTAACATTCGAAAATACTATAATTTCATGTATTGTTGAGAACAATTCAAAAAGCTTTAACATTTTGTTACAAAGGAAAATAATGGTGTGAAACTTATCTATAAAACTAAAATATTATTTTTAAAATTAACAGTAAAGTAAAATAGTTGGTATATATATATATAAAAAAAAAGAATAATAAATACGGTATTCCGAATAGAAGTTACCGCATTTTTCCGTCGTTGTACGTTACTGTAAGAAAATAACTCGTTATAATAAGATTTTTTTCTAATAAGTGTAAACAAGTGTTTTAAATCTAGAGAGAAATTTTTATTTCTCTTTTTTTATTCTTTTCAACTCAGTTCTTCTCTTAGAGGTATTACCTTTTGTGATTGCACACTGCTTTTATTATTCATCTTTACATAAGTATATATTTCTATATCCAAAAAAACTTTAAAAAATAGAAGATAAAAAAAGACTACCTACACGTAAAGTGATGACTTATTTCTTATTAAAAAAAAAATAAATAAAAGAAAGAGTTGTAATATCGAATAGAATTGAATTTTACTAGATAAAAACTTTATTATCATTGTGAATGCATCATTAACATTATTTCTTCGCAAAGAAGAAAAAAAAGTAAGGAGAAAAAAGAAAGAAGGGAGAAAATATAAAGATAACGGTTTATCAGTTACTACAATAATCTCGTTTCAAAAACTTCTACGGATTATTGTCACAAATGGACATGTGATCTAACCATTTAATATGATATATAATATATTTATATTGAAAATATACTATACAAGTTTCGACGGATAAGATTATTCTTATTTTCGATTTTATTTATAATTTTTCGATGAAATAATTACGATAGTAGTTATCTATCAAAAATAAATTTACGCGTTTAGATTATTGTAATGAATATTCATGATGATTCGTGACTCCTTTGGATGGCGTGATATATGTCGAGTATTATAGGTAAAGTTATTTGCTGCGGTGTGGTTATGTGAATAATAAACTTGGAAAATAATTGAATAATACTTTATTATAAATAGTATATAATATCTATCTATATCTATATCTATATCTATATATATATATATACATATATATGTAGAGAAAGAGAGAGAGAGAGAATAGATAATTAAAAGATAAGCTTAAACTAATTCATTAATAATGAATACTCTTAAAAATATAACGTCGGCGTTTTGGTCACCGGACATATGGTTACCGCCCAATATAACATGGGAGGATATTAAACCTAATTCGGAAAACAAATATGCCGATTATCAACATTTAATATTTCCTGTGCCAATGGCCTTCATTCTTTTACTCATGAGATATACTCTTGAAAGGTAAGGAGAATTTTAATTAATATCTACGTTTTCATTGATTTTTATCAACAAAATAATTGAATCAAAATGATCTATGACAAACAATTTTTTTTGCTTCTATTTATATTTATCGTTGTATATTAGTTTCTATACAATGCTAATGATTCAATCATTTTCTTCTTATTCTTTATTTTATTTTTATTGTATATATAAATATACTTTGTTAATTTTGTTGCACGCAGGAATTGCTTCTCACCTTTTGGCAGATCGCTTGGTATAAAGAATACAAGAACAAAAATAGCACCGCCAAATGAAATATTGGAGAAAGCTTATACTAGTAGAAAAATCAAACATAAACAGGTAGATATTATTTTATATACCAAAATGATATAAAAACATAGTCGTTACCAGTGCCATATATCTGTAACACACTGATTTCCATTGAGAGTTCAGTGTCACACATTTGTGAATGCAAGAAATAAATTCTGGGCTGTGGTTTAAATTTCTTTTTCATGGCATAGTAGCAAACGTATTAAATAAATAGTGTATATTTTTATCAATTATTATATTTTTAAGATATTAGCATTAGCTAAACAACTGGATTGGTCAGAACGACAAATAGAAAGGTGGCTTAGACTTAGACGTTCTCAAGATAAGCCATCTACTTTAACAAAATTCTGTGAAAACAGGTAAATCATAGTTTGATTGTTATATAGATTTATATTCATATAATATTTAATAACATCTTTTTATTATAGCTGGAGGTGTTCATATTATACATATTCATTCTTTTATGGCCTTATTATTTTATGGAATAAACCATGGTTATGGGATATTAAGCAATGTTACCGTAACTATCCGTATCATTCAGTGTCCAACGACGTGTGGTGGTATTACATGATATCTATGGCATTTTATTGGTCGTTGAGCATTTCTCAATTCTTCGATGTGAAAAGAAAAGATTTTTGGCAAATGTTTATTCATCATATAGTGACCATCGTATTATTGTCTTTCTCATGGGTCGCTAATTTAACAAGAATTGGTTCATTAGTTTTATTAGTACATGATTCCGCTGATATATTCTTAGAAGTAAGTTTGATATCATTTATTTTCTTTCTTTTTTCTTCTTTTCTTTGTTACTTTTAATAAACATTGTATTATGTATATTATAATCATAAATGTATGTTTTTAATTAGATAACTATCGGTTGTGAAGTCATAGTTTTGTATTTATTACTGAATGTAATATATTATATTTTTTGCAGGTCGCAAAAATGGCAAAGTATGCTAATTATCAAAAATTCTGCGATTTTGTATTTGTTATTTTCACAATATTGTGGATTGTGACACGCGTCGGTATATTTCCATTCTGGATTATTTATAGGTAATTTTAGATATCTTTTATGGTTTTTCTTTAAATTATTTTATATAATGCAATAAAGTAGTTGTTATAAATATAAAATTATAATATGTTCTTAATTTAAATATGTTTCTTTTAGTACATTGATTGAAGCACCTAAGCTAGTACCAATGTTCCCAGCGTATTATGTGTTTAATACATTATTGTGCCTCCTACTTATACTTCATTTAATATGGACTTATGTTATTATTAAAATCGCATATAATGCCTTTTATGCTGGTCAGGTACATATCCATAAATTTAACTATGCTATTACATTTTTTCAATTACAACATTCTTCGTATTGTGATAAGTAATGTTAACAATAAATCTTATATTAAATTACAGAATTTGTGTTACTATAACACACATACATATATACATAATATAATTCACTTTAATTAATTTTATATTTGGAATTTACAGAGTTAATTAAAATGAGTGGCAATGATATAAGACTTGATTATGTATTTATTAAAAAAATGTTACAGATGGAAGGTGATATACGAAGTAATAGCAGTGAAGATGTTTCAGATGCCTCAGAGAATAATGCACTTGTCAATAATACAACGAACTACATCAACAAACGAAGTTCAAGACAAAAGGCACATTAACAAAACAACAAAATTAATTAGCTAAAAAATCTTAACATGTATAATGTTAAAGATAAAACGGCAACAAAAAAAATAATAATTAGCCTGGCGCTAAACGATCATTCTTCAAACTTATTCGAATTATAAAGCTATGATTATTTATTATTATAAAAAATGAAATCATAACTTTATTGGAAATATCGAAAGTAAAAAATATAAAAATATAAAAAGAATCGAAAAAAAAAATGATAGACTTATAAATTACGAAATTTGTTGCTATAAATATTTTTTAAAGCAATATCTTAAGTTTAACTCGATGTAAGAAGTAAGGAGAAAGTGATTCACTATAGATGCAATGTCCAAATTTCATTTTTTACCATATTACCAGTATTGTAAGAAAAATGAAAATCCTTTAGTCATATTTCACTTTCATATATGTATTATATCATTTATTTATAATTATTTTATTTAAAAATTTCGGTACCTGTATGTATTATCTCTTAAAACAACTTTAAGTGTGTGTTTAATTAAACAAAGAATGGACCAAAGCTTTAGATTTTTGTCGGAAGGTAACCCTTTTTAAACTTATGATTCATAATATTTAAATATTTTTATATATATTCATTTTCTATATATTCTGGATATATATATATATAAACACGTATATTTATATATGTATATACATCATGTATAAGTTTAACAATAAAATAGAATGGAAGAGCTAATTACGCAAACGGAACTGTTTTCACAAATAGCATTTATATTTCTTCGCAAAGTTTTATGTGAATTTCTTTGATTAAATGTTAAATAATAGTATTAATCAGTAAATAAAAATCTAATTGAAAAAGTATCAAGTGTAAATTCTTTTTTTATAAATTATGGTGTATATATCTATAAAATACAATTCAATGAATGTAATAATTAATAAAATATTATAAATATTTTAATTAAGTATATTGTTTCATCTAAGAATACGAGGTAATTGATTGATTATAAATTTGTTATTTATTTATTAAATCATTTAATTTAAAATTCTTTCTGCGTTTTACTGATTAATATATAGATCATTTTATTCTTCTATATAAACAAAAATTATTTCTAAATATTGTCAATATTGGATTAAAATAATTTAAAAATAGATAATTTAAATTAATTTTACAATTTTAAAGTTTATAATAAAATATATACAATATAAAAATGAAGGATAATCTGCGTAGAAAATTGTGGTTAATGTATATCAAAGTATGATAAACCGTAATTTTAAACAAATATACAAAGTAATTTTATGTAAAAAAGTAAAAAATTCAAAAAACCTTTTTGATGGAAATCAGCATAGAGTACTAACCAATGTTAGTTATTGTTATCTAATATCAGGTATTGTCAATACAATACCTGACCATACTTTCTTGGTTAAAAATAATATAAATGTTCTATTAAATTTATGATGTCACAAAGATCAATGAGAAAATTGACTGATTAATTTATATATATATATATTTATATATATTTAAATATATTTTATATATATAATATATAAATTATATATATGTTGTTATGCCTTGGGAGAAAGGTTTAACTTTCTTTCAAAATAACTTACACAAGATTTTAATGTCTAAACTATACTAACATTTAATTGTTTATTTGATAACGTAAAGTCGCTCTTCAAGATTCTTTAATTTATTCTCAAATATTTTCTGTAACTAGGAATGCATAATGATTCGTAGTGTATTCTGTGAGTACCATTCTGTAACTAACTAAAAAGGTGTTAGAGAACATACACCGCAATTTTAAGTATCACTACGCCATGGGAATAAACAGGTAATAAGGTGTGCTTTGCCCAGCCGCTAGCGTGTAAACAACATCGTCAGCAGTTTTGAAGGATAACGTTAAAAGAAAAAGAAAAATCTACAGAGGCATAACACCCCCACCCTAAGATTAAAAAATCCCCTTTTACAATATACAATCTGGGTTTTTCCTTTGGAATATTTGAAGTGCATTTTACATAATTGCTCTTAATACCAAAAAGTTTTTAAATTAGGCATAATAATGAGTACAAGTAAAGTTGAATATAATAATAATAATAATTACATATAGTAATACCAAGGCAATAATCACATACAAAACATATAAAATCCAATTGACTATTTGTTCGTAAATAGTTTTCGTTCTTTCATGATTTCCAATTTCGATTGCCTCTCTCTTAATCTCAGTTAAAGTTTTTCCGTATTTTGTTAAATCACTCAATTTTAAATCTGGTGCTTCTACAGCACGGATTTCCATTAAACTTAAATTTAAAAGTGGATCATTTAATTCTTGGAAATGCTCGCTAAAATTATACGTTATTAAAGGAATAAAAGCTTTCTTATTAATTAAATTTCTTTCAATATATGAATTTAATATTACATCGTTTGTAACCCCACTACACCCTGGTGCCATGCGCAATAATTTAGTACCATTTATTATATTATTTTCAACTTTATCTCCGCAAATAATTCTAATAGTTTTTGGAATAGGAGCAGAATAAACCCATTCATGGCCATTTTTCAATTGTATCCAAATTGTATGTTTTACAGTAATTATTTTTAGTTCGCAATCATTCTTTTCTAATTTCAAAGGATCATTTACAATTTTACTCAGACAAGCATCATGTTTTTGAATATAATATTTAGGATGAATTGTCTTACACAAAAAAAATAAACTAGTTTATGAGTTTTACAATGTTCTAAAAAAAAATTTTCTTCACTAGGAGTATACAATAATTTTTCGTTATTAGTTATTATGTACTCGTGTRGGTTTGAGATATAAACAGCTAAACTATTATTTATGATTTTTGGTACTGGAATAGCTCTATATGCTTTATAATTGCCGATTTCTAATAAAGGTATTTTAATCAGAAATATAAATCTATATCTTATTACACTAATAGTTAAATCACTTATTTCTAAATATTCAAAAATAATTACCATCATGGAGAGCAATTGGCATTTCATTCGACCCTCTTTCGTCACGAATTAATTTTATAGAACTTATAAGTACTTCTGGTGTTAATAATTGAGGATTTATTTGACCCATCTTCGCAAATATTAGTGATTGAGTGAACATATTTACATTCTTACCAAATTCCGTCAAAGCTAATTCAATTTCCAAACACATTTCAGTTATTAAAGAATCTCCTTGCAACGAATTTTCTTGTAAAACAATTTTTTTTATGTTATTATCGAAATTTTAAAAATTTGAATTTATTTCTATGAATTTTTTATTATATTCTCTAAAAAGACTTTCAGTTTTATGAATAGTTAATTGTAATATATATGTTTGATTCTTAAATAGTTCTCCAATTCTTTTATTGTCTTYATGRACTGCATCAATTTCAGAATTATAATAATCTGCATCGTCCTGACTCATAGTACCAAAAAGTATTTTACTAATTTTACCAACAAAATCAAATATCCCCCRTCTATTTCTAATCAACGTAGGGATCCCTATAGCAGAGAATAGCTTATACTTATCTTGTTTTAGACTTTCTAACTGATTTCTTAACCTCATAATCAAGTGTGATTCCGTACAATTATTTTGACACGATGATTCGACTTGATCAATACTTTTTAAGATTTCTGACTCCTGGAATGTTAATTGAAGTAGGACACAATATTGTACGTCTCATGGAAAAATCTTACGTCTCCTAAATACTCCATGTAAATATTTGGTAATGTAGAAAAATTTAGTTCTTCGTTACTTTTGACCTCCATCATAACCAAATAGATTAGAATTCTGAAACAAACTTATATTAGCATATTTTAATTTATTAGCGTGCACGATTATACTTTTAATTCTTTTCTCTATCTTATAATTAACATCTGACAATTTATCTAATGATTATCTATCTTATAATTAACATCTGACAATTTATATAATAATTATTAATATTAATATATTTTATATGGCTCCTCAAATGGAAGATTCAGACCGTGTGTTTTATCATTCGCATTACCTTCTTTCTTTAGCTAAACCAAATCATCTACTTTAAACTCCTTTGGATTCGTTAGTCGATCATAACGTATTTTTGTCCTTTGCTTACTTTCTGCTATTATTCTTTTACTTTCCTCGATAGTTTTATTGATTTTTGCTTGTAAATCACCCATATACTCCATATATGTTAGGTTAGTAGTCTTCAATGATGATACATTCCTTGGATTCATTCCGAAAACTAGTTCTGCAGGAGTAAATCCCGTACTGTCATGTTTGGATGTGTTGTAATATAATCCAGCTAAATGAATCTTCGTATCCCAATCATCAGAATTCTTTTTTGAAAAGTGACGTAGATAATCTTTTAATACTTGATGACTTCTTTCCAGACTGCCATTACTTTCTGGATGAAAACTTGTAGTTGTAATATCTTTAATGCCCAACATCTTTTGAAAATGTTTCATCAATTCATTTGTAAAGTTAGTTCCTCTATCTGTCAATATATTACATGGTACTCCAGAATAACCCACATAATGCTTCAGAAATTTTTTTATAATTGTTAAAGCTGTACTGTCTGAAATTGGTATTCCCACGAAATATTTAGTCAGGCAATTTTGAATTGTCAAAATACGATTATTGCGTCTTTCTGTCAATGGCAATGGTCCACAAATATCCTGTTATGTCTCTGTAGATTTTTCTTATTCTTTTAACGTTATCTTTCAAAATTGTTGACGATGATGTTCACACGCTAGCGGCTGGGCAGAGCACACCTTATTACCTGTTTGTTCCCATGGCGTAGTGATACTTAAAATTGCGGTGTATGTTCTCTAACACCTTTTTAGTTAGTTACAGAATGGTACTCACAGAATACACTACGAATCATTATGCATTCCTAGTTACAGAAAATATTTGAGAATAAATTAAAGAATCTTGAAGTGCGACTTTACGTTATCAAATAAACAATTAAATGTGAGTATAGTTTAGACATTAAAATCTTGTGTAAGTTATTTTGAAAGAAAGTTAAACCTTTCTCCCAAGGCATAACATAAATTTGGTGGCAGCTAAAAAGGATATCTTGAGTCAGTGCATCAGAAACAATTGGAAACATGAGAACAAGCATCTTAATGTAAGTAAGATTAGGTTATTTACATATGCAAAACGGCAATTTCGTAAATTATCGCGACATAAAAATTTATTCTGACGAAAGTGAAGAGCCTAGTGAAAATTCGATAAACTTGTCAGAAGTGTCTTTCAAAATGTCAAAAACACAAGAGGAACTCCTAGCTATTATTGATTCACTACAAAAACAAAATAATCTATTAAATAAGGAAGCTCAAGCTCTCAAGGAAGAAAAGGAGG